CTTGCCCCATGGTAACATGGAAAAAAACATTACTGTTTGTTTTGGAATTTTTACTTGGAATCTGTAACAATGACTGTTTCTAAAATTCTACTTTATACTGATGAGTATTGGGGATTTTCCCTCCATTCCTTTTATGCTACACAAACCTAAGGAAACCAATACATTTCTTCTTGTTTTGTTTTTTTTTTTTTTGAGACGGAGTTTCACTCTTGTTGCCCAGGCTGGAGGGCAATGCATGATCTCGGCTCACCTCACCCTCCTGGAACGTCCGCTTCCCGGGTTCAAGTGACTCTCCTGCCTCAGCCTCCCAAGTAGCTGGAATTACAGGCATGCGCCACCACGCCTGGCTAATTTTGTATTTTTAGTAGGGTGGGTTTTCTCTATGTTGGATAGGCTGGTCTCGAACTCCCGACCTCAGGTGATCTGTTTGCCTCGGCCTCCCAAAGTGCTAGGATTACAGGCATGAGCCACTGTGCCCAGCCAAATTTGTTGTGATTTTTAATCTTTACTATTGCTTAAAAGAGTCATTGGTTTGTGTCTATTTTTTTCATTTATTACAAAAATAGTTTAGGAGAAAACATATTTGAATGTATAAAAGGATTTTTCTCACAATTGAGGTCAATTTGTTATATTGACATTATTTTCTATAAATTCATTTCTCTTAGACACATAAAAAGCTGACTGTGCTTTTGGTTTGGTAAAGGATCATAAAACGGTTATCTGGACAACACTTAATGTTCTCGTATTCTTTGTAAATTGCTATTAGGCTATAATATATAGAATGTTCTATATAACATAATAAGTTTATGCAAAATAACCATTTTTCAGAAAATTTTCCCAGACAATATTACTAATCACTGGTAATATTGTGGCATAAAATGCTCGATAGCATTCCACATTTTAAAACCTGCATGCTTGCTCCTTTAAATGTCTATACAAAGTGATCTAATGCTGATTTTTGAAACTGGAAAGGACATGAAAACATAGTAATATAGGGATAGAGCAAAGAGGAGATATACTCACCTCTTTGTTTCCCTTTAGTCACTTTAAAATAAAGCCTTATATTTAGGAAATTGCCTATTTGTAAAATCTTGAGGCTGGGCGCGGTGGCTCATGCCTATAATCCCAGCACTTTGGGAGGCTGAGGCGGGTGGATCATGAAGTCAAGAGATCGAGACCGTCCTGGTCAATGAGGTGAAACCCCGTCTCTACTAAAAATACAAAAATTAGCTGGGCATGGTGGTGCATGCCTGTAGTCCCAGCTACTCGGGAGGCTGAGGCAGGAGAATTGCTTGAACCCAGAATGCGGAGGTTGCGGTGAGCCGAGATCGTGCCATTGCACTCCAGTCTGGGTAGCAACAGCAAAACTCCATCTCAAAAAAAAAAAAAAAATCTTCGAATTACAGGGTGGGGGGACAGTTTAAATAGAATGAATTCTTAGAGAATCTCGGGACAGAGGAAACACTGGGTTGTGGTAACTGATCCTTTGATTTATATTATTTGAGCAGAGGAAATATGGAGATAAGCAGGTTAGGGTTAAATTTTGCTATCTGAGGAAGGGGCTTGATGAGGGGCACAATAGAGATGTGAGTTGATTTATTTGCCATTATTTCACTTGTGGACAACTGGATTTTTGAAATCCACATTTAGAAATACATTTTTAACTTTTAGGAGTTCATATGTGTGGTTGTTCTTTATTAAGTTCCACACATCTCCCCCAGTGTATTACTCTGATTCCAAAAAAAAAAAAAAATTCATTGAACTGTAAGAAAGGATGGACAGTGGATAGCAGGTAGGGTAAAATAAAATAAGTTGGGCTGATGTTGCTTTCAGAACTTAAATCTCAGTGATAAGTATAGGGCTCCCTTGTGATTCAAGGCCAAGCTTGTAAATTAAGCTGCTTTAAAGGAATGTTGGAGACAGAAGTGAGTTAGAAATGTAAAAATAGAGCTGGGCGAGTTGGCTCATACCTGTAATCTCAGCACTTTGGGAGGCCAAGGAGTTTGAGGACAGTTTGGGCAACAGGACAAAATACCATCTTTACTTAAAAAAATTAGCCAGGCATGGTGGTGCACGTCTGTAGTCCTAGCTACTTGGGAGTCTGAGGTAGGAAGACTGCTTGAGCGCACCACTGCACTCCAGCCTCCTGGAAGATAGGGTGACAACCTGTCACAAAAAAGAAAAACTGGCTTTTTTTTTTTTTTTTTTTTAATTTAAACAGAAGCACAGAGATAATTGTAAAATTCTTAACCTAAACTGGCTTTGGCAGTGTGTTCCCACCCTCTCCCCACTCTTCTTGTTCTAGTTGTTTATAAAATTCTTCTTTAGTTTTGAAGTGTTTGATAGAAATATTTAAATGTCATTTAAACATAAATTGGGATTGCTTCAGTTTTCCTAATTCTGACACCTAGTATGTCTTACCATCTGAGAATAGGCGAAGTTTTTATTTTCATAAAACTAGACATAAAAAGACATGTACACATAATTTTCTTACAATTTAAGACATTTCCTTTTTGTAAATATCTTGCCTTTTACACCATTTGTGTAAAGGAAGATCTTTAAATTGTATTAGAGAACTTTTTGCCTATAGTTTGGTTGTAAAAGTACATCTTGTAAAAATTAGCTAGTATAGATTTAAAATTTTCAAACTATTGAAAACTTTCTGGGATTTTTTTTTTTTTCCTTCAGGTAAAACAGACTTGAAAGCATCTAGCTTTTCACTTTTCTGCCACAGGGTGGTGTACAATACTTACTGTCTGAAATTCTGTTTGGTGACTTCAACAGCCTAATGGAACCCAACTTAGAATATTGTAAAAGTTCACTTTGCGCACTAAAATAAATTGTTTATGAGAGAAGTTAGTCCTTATACAGGGGCCCAATTTTTATTTAAAGGGTCTCTAAGGGGCTTTTATAGGAAATGCAGTTACATTGCATTATTATTAATTGAAACATTTGGAAATACTTTCAGACTTACTACAATGTTGTAATAATAAGAATAGTACAAGAAACATCCATATACCCTTTATCTAGATTTATTTATTGACCTTCTATCCTATTTGCATACTTCCTTTTTATATATGTATATTTTCTAAGGAAACATTTGAAGCTAAGATATATACATCATGACACTTTTCTCTCTCTCTCTCTTTTTTTTTTTTTAAGATGAGGTTTTCACCATGTTGGTCAGGCTGGTCTTGAACTCCCAACCTCAGGTGATCTGCCTGCCTTGGCCTCCAAAGTGCTTGGATTACGGGCGTGAGCCACCACGCCTGGCCTCATGACACTTTTCTCTATATGTTACATTGTGTTTTTCCAAGAGATATTCTATTATGTAACCATAACAGTACCAACTTGAGAAAATTTATCGTTGATATAATTCGTTTATCCAGTCTCCTATCAGTATTTCAGTTTGTCTTTTGACTCAGTAATGTCCTTCACAACATTTTCCCTACCAGTTCAGCAGTCTCAGGTCATTTATAACATTTAATTGTCTTGGCTCTTTAGCAATCTTTTAACCTGGAATAGATCCACAGCCTTTGTATTTTATAATAATGACATTCACCTTTCCTTAACAGAACATTACTCATTTCCATTTGAGTTTGTCTGGTGATTCTTCATAATACAGGTTATATATTCTCGGCTAGAATATTATATAAATTATGTTGTATCTTCCTTAGAGTATTACCTATATCCATCCTCCTCTTATTGGTGGTGTTACATTATGTTTTGAAGTCTTTTTTTTTTTTTTTTTGTCAGTTCAGATGTATATGTTTAGAAGAATAATTAAATGCAATTCTAGTATGTGTAAAAGCAAACATTTTCTCTAAAGGAAGATACTTAGACTAATGCTCCCAGTAGGTAAAATGTAATTTGATTGGAAGATTTGAGGTAGCACATTTTAACTTTAAATTTTGCAAAGCTCTTAATGTAGTATACTGGCATTTAATCTGACCCTGGATTGCCAGAGAGAATTGCTGATATCCTCCTTGCGACCTGCCGTCATCATGGTGAACAAATAAAATCTGAGTAGGTGACATTAGACAAAAGTCTGAGACATCTCAATTATAAATTTCTGATGTCACAATTAACAGCAAAGCCAAATAATGTTGTACTCTCTGAGTTTGGGCTTGCATTAGTGCAGTTTTAATACAAAACAAGCATATATCGGAAAGAATATTGTAAACTTCTGAAAGAAATTATCACAAGTCTTTTTTAATCCTTTGGTTTTTTGATGGATTTGTTACTGTTAATGAATGGATACAATTTTGTGAGTAGGAAAATTTCCTAAATATTTCTAGTATGTTAGCCTTAGAATGTGTATAAAAATTCTCAGAAGGTAATAGAGATACCTATTTTGAAGAAAATGGTCACATAGCTCATTTGAATATTTATAATTTCTTGATCTTTTTGCTGAAAAGTATAATATTAATATTAAGATGGTATAATGCTAAGAAAGCACATTAGTTTGCAGCTCTTTTCTGGAACATAGTGAAACTTTTTTGTATGATCTTACGTTTAATCCTTTTACTTTGATTGCATATGTATGTTATGTATAAAATATGTATTTTCCATATACTGTAGACATCAGAGCATTTGAGGTATGAAATTAAATGAATATAAAGTAATTTGAATGCCAAAATGCTCATTAAATTTAACAGTTGAACGTGAAAAATTATTGGATACTGCTGTGAGTTATGATTTCTCCTATCAGCTATCCTGCAGAGTATGGAAGGGAGAAAAAATTACTTCCATGTTCCTTTCAGGTTTTCCCTTGGTTTTACAAATAAGTATATTGCTTAAATTGCTAGTAGTTTGTAGCTGCTGCTTCTGACACTTGTATACATGTTTCTGAGTTTTCATAGTACACTGAATGATACCCTGGGGGCTTAGAAGAATTCAGCCTGTCTTCCCTAGTGCCTAACTTAATTCTAGGAACTTGGATAGTAAATATAATGTGATTGAATATAGTTTTAAAAGTCGATGTCATTTTCATTTCCCAGGCAAGACATCTGTATAGATTCTACTTCATCCATGAGAGAGAACAAGCAACCTGAAGGTTTGGAATTAAAACAAGGTATGAATCAAGTACTTGATTATTGTATAAAATTTACCTGAAGAATAGAAGCATTTTACCAATAATACATTTTCAATTTTCAATGTCTGACTCACCCCATTTTACAGATAGAGGAAGAGAGCAATTTATTTGATCAAAAGTCAAAAGTGTAAAGAATATATCCTTACTTCATGATTCTTTTAGTTACTGGAATGATTATATTTTGTGATGTATAGTGAGTTACAGATGCTACCAGGAAATGCTTTATCATCTTGAATAATTTTATTTCAGTAATTTATATATCCTCAGCTGCAAGACATTGGAGATATGTTAACTGGGTAGCTTTGGGTTGTATGTGGAAAAAAAATCAGTAAGTTTTATAAGATAACTTTTCCCCTGGAGGTATTTTTTCCTTGTTTACTTTCTTTCTTCCTTATTTATTGCTTTCTTGTTTTTGACATTACCAGCTGGCAGAAATAAAGTGGTAATTTTAATTTATTCAAGCCAAGTACATTAGTAGGGCTAATCTTTTAAATGTCTTTTTTTATCTCTAGTAGGAAAAATTGAAAGTAAAGTAAGTTTTTATTAGCTACTCAAATGCCAGCTCACATTTGTTTCTGATAAAATTAATTCAGAGCAGTAAGAATTTGTTGCAGCCAAGAAGATTAACTTATCTATTATGTAATCACCTAATCTTTGATGGCTTAGAATAGTTTCTCTAAAATATGAGTCATATGAACTTACTTAGTAGCGAAAAGCAAGTCATTATTTAGGCAGAATTTTTTTTAAAACTGGTCTTTTATTAATGCTTTATTTAAAAAGTGGAAAAACAGGTTAGATAATGAATTTAGTGATTTGTTCAATTTATGTGTAGAGATAGCAAAATCTAGATTTTCTGTAATTCTCATTTATTTACTGTAGGGTATATGAATATTTCTGATTGTTTCAAAAATTCCTACTGCTTTTCAAAAGTCCTGTTGTGATAACCTCGCATCCGGCCAGACAAAATTACGTCTTTGTATCCTGACTACTTCTGAGAACCCCCGTAAACTCAGATTCAGTTTGGCATTATTTGTCATATATAAATATATGCTAAACACACATTATTTTTATATAATATAATCATAATCACATTACCTTATATTTCATATAATTAGATTACACCTCATGTATAATTAGACTACACTGCTACTGTTTCTTCTTTGTTTCTGCTCTTTGTATCAAATGAATAGGCAGTATGGAGGGTATGCTATTAGATCATCTGAGGAAAAGAGAATGTTCTATAAAGGGTAAGAAAAGCTAGAATGGGCTGGTTGATTTCCAGTTCCTAGGAAAAAAGGGAGACCACAAATTAGCCAATGTTACCTTGTAAGAAAACGTTTTTCTCTTCTCATGTTCACACACTCAGAGTTCTTTAGAACTGTCTTCCTAGTGTCAACAGCCTGTTTTGCTGTGATTTCTTATGAGAACTTCAGTCATTTGAAAACCAGTCATGAAGGTGCAAAGAGGGAGAGAGGAAGACCTCCAATGAGCCAGATGTCAAAACTCCAGGCCTTTTACACTTAGCAGCCTGTACACTACACTTAGGTTCTCACAATGGTATGAGATATTAAGAATACACTGATGGCATCAAGCAGAGTTGAGAAAACATGAGATCAAAATGCAGCAGTACCACTATATGATAGAGTTTGTGCTCATGTTGAGACTAAATCTATAGGAAATAGTTAAATTAAGTTTTAGCCTTTTTTTAAAAGTAGGGAATTAAAGTTTTTTAGAAGAATATCTACAAACTGTTAAAATTTAAAATGTTTTATTGCATAATGGGTAAACATATTACCTAGAATATTTATGAAGACCATCTTCCAGATAAATATTAGCATAGCTGAAATCTCAACCAGATAGTAATTAACTTGCTTGAAGTCACCAAACAAGCTGAGGTATGTCAAGAAATAGAAATCCTGATGGGCTCAATAAAGATTATTCCCTTTTTTCTGAGTGCACTAATACTGTCTATTTGTAATGTGCATAACCTGCAAAATCTAACTTTTCTTGCATAGCTAGCTATTTTTGCTCACAGTGAGCTCAATAAAAGCAGAATATAAGTTCCTTGTGAATGCATTGTCATTTTAATGGCTTGGTCAATTGAGAAAATTCATTGAAGCTTATTTAGTACTGAAGTAACCTTTTGTTCAGTAGACCAAAATATAAAGCAACATTGAATTTTCTTTTTGCATATACCATTAATGGTATATAAGTTACGTAAGTTACATTATCAGTATTTAGAGCATTTAAAATGCTGAAGCATTACTTGAATAATAAGTATTAATTATGAATTAAGTTGAAATTGGCATTTTCTTGTACTGGTTTCATTCATTTTTGTTGATAGAAAATATTTTTGAAACTGGCAGTGCTGAATATGAGTATCAGATTGTGCACTAACTTCCACTGCCCTTAGTAATAGACTAGTAAAAGGAACTACCTTAACAGTGAAAATGTTATTTAAATGTAAATATAATCTAGCCAGGCGCGGCGGCTCACGCCTATAATCCCAGCACTTTGGGAGGCCGAGGTGGGTGGATCACGAGGTCAAGAGATCGAGACCATCCTGGTCAACATGGTGAAACCCCATCTCTACTAAAAATACAAAAAAAATTAGCTGGGCATGGTGGCTCGTGCCTATAATCCCAGCTACTCAGGAGGCTGAGGCAGGAGAATTGTCTGAACCCAGGAGGCGGAGGTTGCAGTGAGCCGAGATTGCGCCATTGCACTCCAGCCTGGGTAACAAGAGCAAAAACGCTGTCTCAAAAAAAAAAAAAAAATTATATATATATATATATATTTGTAATGTGCATAACCTGCAAATATATATAATGTATTGGTTAAATGATTGGTACTATAGTAAAACAAACTCTTCTGTTAGAAATTCTTTCTTTCTTTTTTTTTTTTTTTGACACATAGTTTTACTCTGTTGCCCAGGCTGGAATGCAGTGGCTCAATTTCCACTCTCTCCACCTCCCAGCTTTAAGTAGTTCTCTTGCCTCAGCCTCCTGAGTAGCTGGGATTACAGGTGGCTACTACCGCGCCCAGCTAATTTTTGTATTATTAGTAGAGATGGGGTTTCACCATGTTGGCAAGGCTGGTCTCAAACTCCCGACCTCAGGTGATCTACCCACCTTGGCCTTCCAAAGTGCTGGGATTACAGGCATGAGCCACCATACCCAGCCAAAAATTATTTCTTAAATCTTTCATTTTAGTCAGAATGCAGTTGTATAAGAAACATCAGTTATAGTTTGTACTCATTAGCACAGCTGTAGCACATGTGTAGGTAGGTACATGTGTGCATGCACATGTACACTGGCAACCTCACATGTGCAAGTTTGAGATCTTATGTTAATTTCCTGGAGGATTTCAGAGTGCTGCTTTTCAAATAATGATGGCTTATATGAATTTTTTAAGTTGGTCAGTTGTGCTATAGTTAGAAATAAAAACTGTTGAAGGTATTTAGTTTGTAGAAAATATTTTTAAAATGTCAAACAAATATATCTGCTAATGGTAAGTTTATTGAAGACATTGAGCTATAAAATATTGGTCTGTATTTAAATTGTTGCTTTAAAGTTTACAATTGGAGAAGTATGTCATTTTGTGAACTATTTTTCCTTTGTAATTCAAAAATTAAGTTCTTATGGTTTGCATTTTTTCTTGGAAGTTTTCATGAGAGAAATTTTAAAACTATACATGAGAAATAGCTTTGTTAAGTTAGATTGAAGAGTTGAGGTTTATAGTAGTTTCTGTAAAATATTTGTAGGACTAGTAAATGGAAGTGTGATTAGATTTGTTTTCTGTGGCCTCGGAGAAAAAATAGAGCCAATAGATAACATTATCATTAGACAAAAGTTTTTGGTTTAATGCAGTGGACTGCCTTCTAAGATACGTTTCTGATGCTGAATGTGTTTGGACACAAATAGCCACTTGGTGGTGCTGTTGTAGAGGATTCAAGCAATGGTTGTTCCTCTCTAGCTGTCAGGTTTTGTTAAGACCAGTGCCTAGTGCGTTGTTTGTACTTAGGAAGAGTGGTTAGTAACTGTTTTCCTAAATTGTTTAATGGAAGCAAAGTGAAATATACACTTTTTTTTCTGTTATCTCTAAATTTTTTATTCTATTGGAAGAAAAAAATACATTTGATTTAGTCTTTGATCTGTTTAATGGTTTCTTAAAATATATTCATTTGAGTACAGTCATTAAAATAAATAATGTAATTACATGGTATATAAAATGACCAAAATCAGTTAAGATATTTTCCACATCTTATTTTGAATACTTGTACATTCGCTGTCTCATGTGAGAATCTTTTCCTTAAAGACATGCAAGCACAAAATATGCACACAGAGCTTTGCTTTAAATAGGCTCAAATCTTATCCCTTCCCCATTAAAAAAATTATTGGCCAGGCTCATGCCAACAATCCCAGCATTTTAGGAGGCTGAGGACCCAGGAGGTCCAAGCTGCACGAGCCATGATTGCACCACAGCACACCAGCCTGGGCATCAGAGCGAGACTTTGTCTCAAAAGAAAAAACAAAACAACAACAACAACAACAAAAAAAACCACTACCAATTGGCAAGGTTTTTTTTTGGATATGTATGTGTCTTTTTTATCAAGACGCATAAATATCCAAACAGATTTCAGTATTTTGAGAGAAATGTTTATTTCTATGTGTCTTTAAGTACTCACTTTAAACATTCTATCCTGTGATGTAGATCGTAGGATCCTAGACATACTCTTGAGGCATCTACTTTGGAGGTCACATAGTGTAAACCTTCAGTTGTTACTGGGACTTTGGTTGCTTTTTAGTCATTACATTCTTACCCAGTTTATTAGGGAAAGCACCTCTTTACCTGTGTGCTCCTACCACAGGAAAAGACAGTAAATACTAGGCTTGCATCCAGATATTGTCACCAGTTTCTGAACTCTACACACACCACATCATAGTCTGATTTAATTCACAGTTTTGGCTGCCACATCA